TGTGTGTGTGTGTGTGTGTGTGTGTGTGTGTGTGTGTGTGTGTGTGTATGAAGAAGTTAGTGGACTCTTTATTGTTTCTGGGGTGTGGAGCTCAGGAGTTCTTGGAGGGGCGGGTCAGTTTCCTCCTCACCACCACAGGCTTCTGGCTTCGCAGGATGGCACTGGCCCTGCGGATGGCCACCATTCGCAGATCGGGGTGGTACTTGTTCTTTTGGATCATGTACCTGATGCTGCTGAGGATGGCCCGAGCATTCTTGTTCATGGCGGTTCTCACAGAAGAAGTGGCAGGCTTTGCTGACTGGATCTGTTTCATGACCACCACAAACCCTTTGCCATCGGCTGTGGCCTCCCCTCCCACAGTCTTGCAGTGAATCAGCCTGTTGTAGCAGAAGGAGTTGCAGGCCTTCAGATTATTGGTCTTGGTGCTGTACGTCTGCTTCTTCCTCTTGATCATGAAACTGGAGCAGTTCCGAACCACCATCCATTGCATATGGGCGGATATAGTGGCTCCTCACTCTATGGCTGTAGGAAACGAAAAGAGCACTACTGTTTTAAAAAAAATAATTTTTTTATTAATTAATTCCATTTTTCTCGGTCATAGGGCCTTCTCTCTTCTCCTCCCAGTTCCACCCTCCCTCCTGCATCCCCTCTCTCCTATTCCTAGAATGGGAAAGCCCCACCTATCCAGACACCACAGCTCATTTATTCATGTGAGGACTGAGTTTGACTTCCTCCCCTGTGGCCTGGTAGGGAAGTCCCATCATGGGGAAGTGATCAAAAGTGATTAAAAAGTCAATATGTTAGTGTACTAAAAGAGGGATTTTGATAGAGATATATAGATACTTTCTAGGAAACATAGTCCATGTCAGAGATATCCCCCACTCCCCTAATGAGTGTTCCCACATGAAGCCTAAGATGCCCATCGGACTTACCTTCCTGGGGTCTGTGCATTGTAATATGTCTATCCTCTACCCTATGACTAAAATTCACTTATAAGTGAATATGTACCATGTATGTCTTTCTGCTTCTGGGTTACCTCACTCAGGATGATCTTTTCTAGTTCCATCCATTTGCCTGCAAATTTCATGATATCCTTGTTTTTAATGGCTGAGTAGTATGCCATTGTGTAAATAAACCTCAGTTTCTTTATCCATTCTTCAGTTGAGGAATATCTAGTTTGTTTCCAGTTTCTGGCTATTAGAAATAAAGCTGCTATGAACATGGTTGAGCAAATGTCCTTGTTTAGTATGGTGGAGCCTCTTTCAGGTGTAGGCCCAAGAGTGGTATAGCAGAATCTTGAGGTATGGCTATTCTCAGGAGCTATACTTAACGATGTAAGGAGTGGTGATGCCACTGGGATTGCATAGGAATCGTACTTGGTTTTTAGAAAGGCCAAGAGGGGATAAAATACCATTCTGTCTGAAATCCATTTTAAATTGCTCAAGTCAGAAACAGGTTAAGCAAATATTACAAAATATGAATGAGAATTCAATCTAGATGTGAAAGTGACTCTTTGCTACACTCTTTTGTCTGTTTTTATTCGTTTAAAAATCTTCATAATACAAACTAGACCAATAAAAAAGAAATAGAAAGTACTTAAAGCATTGTTTCTCAACCTGTGGGTGATGACCCTTTTGGAGGTTGAATGACCTTTTCACAAGGTCGACAGGGGTCACCTAAGACCATCGGGAAACACATATGTTTCCATTATGATTCATAACAGCAGCAAAATTACAGTTATGAAGGAGCAACAAAAATAATTTTATGGTTGGGGGGTCACCACAGTATGAGGAACTGTATTAAAGGGTCGCAGCATTAGAAAGGTTGAGAACCACTAGTTTAAAGGAAGAGAAAGAGAGCAGAGAATGCTCTGGTTTATAAATCTCCTAAGTCTGGTCCTGATGACTTATCCCCTATGTAAGCCCAATTTGCCTCTCTCAAATGAACAAAGCATTTCAACCGAACTCATTCCTCTGTAGTCCCACAAAAGCTGTGCTCATTACAACTGTGTTAGAAGTTGGTGCAGTAGCTAGCAATTCTAAACACTAAGTGCTGCCACCAAATAAGATTTGAGTCAGCTCTTAGTCGTAGTAGTTCTGCCAGGGAACTACCTGTTCTTTTCAAATGATGCCCACCTCACCATTACAGTTTGAAGATACTAGGAGGCAGAAGTGTTCGAACCAAAAATAATAAAGCCGGAGGAGAAAATGTTTATGTGAAAACCTTTGAGGCAGGGAACCATCAGGGGCAATCATGTCTGAAATGCGTAAAACCTGATGTGTTTTTCTTTTCTTCCAGACTAGACTACGTAAAGAAGGATAAAACCCAAATAGTAGCATTGTACTCGGTCAGGAGACAGAGTACAGGCTGTCCTGAGTTCTCAAGGTCTAAGCTGCTTCTGCAAGTGGGTAAGCACTCGGCAAAATATGTTAATACCATTCATTTGAGCAAATTCCCACTGAGCGCCGCACTGTATTTGTGCAAAATAAATGTTTGCTGAGTTTCCCTCACAGGTCAGGCACTTTGTTTAAATTAATTTTTAAAGTTAGCACACAAAATGGTGAGTTTCATTCTGCTATTTTCGTGCATGCATGTGACTGCTGTTTGTTCTTACTCATACTCCACCCCCTCATGTCTCCTCAACCTTCCTTCCCCCAGCCTGTCTCCCCCACTTCTCCTCCCCTACCCTGTCTCCTACAAGTCATCCCTTCCCCTATCCTGCTGCTCGCTCTCCTTCCTTCCTCCACACTGCATTGTTCTTCCTTCCCTCTTCATGCTACATGCATTCTATCCATTACTTTGCACTTCCTTGTTCCCTCGTTCCTTAAGATGTCTGCTCTGCTTCTGTATCCCCCTTTCTACTTTTATAGCAATACGGAGTGTTTCATGTTCGGTGTTACTGGTGATCCAAACAGAAACCCAGTTCCCTTAGAGTTGACATTCAACCTGGGAGAGAGAGTCTATAAAACATGCAAATAATAAAATGGAAGCATGTCAACTGTGCTGACCTCCTAATTGAAAAAAAATAAAGAAAGGAGACTTAAAAGGAGGAGAGTGCTTCAGAAATGGCCACTGCAAACCTCTCTAGGAAGACAGTATTTTAGTGTACTAAGAGAGGGAGATTGGTAGAGATGTGTGGATACTTTCTAAAGGTACTGCTTACTGTGTAGTCTCTCTCTCTCCCTCTCTCCATCTCTCTCTCTCTCTCTGTAGAGGGAGGTAGGTTAACAGGAGGGAGGGAGAAAGAAAGGGAGAGAGAACTATTCAACTGTTTCTGGGGACAAAACCCAGTGTTGAACATGTTAGGCAGGCATGCTACCATAAAGTTGTTGTTGTTGTTGTTTTTCCTACAGTTGGAAAAAAAAGTGAGTCTATGTCTTAATGTGACATAAGTGACAAAAGTGAGTCTATGTCTTAATGCGTAGGAAATGAACTCGTGTTATTGTTGAACTGGGCACAGCCATGTCAGAGACCCTCTGCCTCAGATGCATGGAAATGGCAAACCCTTCTTCCCAGGGTCTCTGTTTTTAGTGCAAATGTTGACAGTATGTACAGAAAACATCTACCTTAACTCTCCCCCACCCCCCAGAGAATTGCAAGGAACAGCCTAAAAACTGCTTCTTTACTACAGGACTGTTCCTCCCCAAATTATCTAAACCCACCTTCTCAGTCAGCTCTAAGAAGCCCCTCCTCCTTGTTTACTAGCAGTTAACAACCTGCCTCCTTGCTCAGCTGTGTGTAATAGCCCTTCCTCCCTGCTCAACTGTATATAACACGTGTGCTGCAGCTTCTCCGTAGAGAGCCCAGTCCACCTGGTCAATGTTTTTCTGTGTCTGTGTGTCCGTGTGTTTGTCATTTCTTCATTCTCTTGATAGCCCCTTCAGGTCAGTCCTGAGCCGGCGTGTAATGGGAGGGTCATTGCTGCAATGTCATTATGGTGTGCTGCTGTTCTTTGTCTCTGTATTATCAATGAGGGGACAAGTTCATCGACAGAAATTTGATCACCAAACTTGACAGAGCTTTCTTTTCGCGCCTGTAATTGCTTAATAATCTAGAGTAGGAGCATATTCCACAAAGGAGTAGACATAGCAGGCTTAGCAGGGAAATGAGCTAGGTGCACTTAAGAAGTCATTGGAAGGCAAGTCTGGCCTTCCTAGGTCAGTAGAGGGAGAAGCAGAGCCATATGTGATGCTATTATTTAAGAACCAGGCTGACTGCTCTACAGAGGACAAAAAGACCATAAAGGGAAAAACTGAGGTACAAAAACTGCTCTGGATGTCACAGTCAGAGGGTAGCAAGAGTTCTGAGTGACTGAGCTAGGTTACAGTAGTGTTAGGGTGGGACACTGTGGGCTTAGGGCTTATTCTTAAAGGAAGAGACGCTGGAATTTTTGGCTGCACTGCACATAGGAGGTGAGGGTAGAAAAAGAATCAAGCAGAAGCCCTGGAATCCATCTAGGCACAGGCCTTGTGCACATGGCTTTTGCTGAGCTCAGGAAGCTTTGGGAAGAGATTGCTTCTGAGGATGGGAGTGAGGTGAGGAGGGAAGAGTTAATAGTTCTCTTTCAGCTTTGCAAATTTAAATCTTCGGTTAGATGGAGTGGTGTTTGAGATTACAAAGAATTTACTTGATTTGTTGTAGCAAAGGCAAGAGAAACATTTTAAAAAGTTTAACTGATATGTAAAATTTTTACATGTTAATTGCTTAAACTGGGTTAAAACTATCTCTACAAACATTTTATCATTCCATCATGATAAAACACCAAAATTCCTTCTACTGTTTTAAATTTTTACTTTAAAAATTTTTTCATACATGAATTCTTCATTTCCGTCATTTCTACTCATCCTTCTGCTTCCAACTTTTCCTGTGTGTTCCCCACTCCCTCTCAAAATCATGATCCATTTGTTATTATTTTACACACACACACACACACACACACACACACTCATGTAGGCATGGTGCTTACTGGATCTATTCAGTGTTGTTCATGTGTAAATGTGTTTACGGCTGGCCACTTGGGATTGGATAACCTAACAAGGAGCTCCTCCCTGGAGAAGACTGATCCTCCCTCTTTCAGCAGCCATTGGATGCTTGTAGCTCTTCCTTTAGTTGGAAGACCTTGTGATATTTTCCTCATCCATATTGGCATGTCAACTGGTCCTGTCATTAGTCATTTCTTATGTAGGCAACCACATTAATAATATTTCATGAATGTAGCTTCCTTGTCATGTCTAGAAGACAGTACCTAGAAGCAGGTATTCTGTCAACTGCTTCTTGCAGTCTGTCTTGAGTCTTAGGTGTCGGGGTTGGTCTGTAGATGTGTCATTCGGTGCCATGAAGTCAAGATGGAAAAATGGGATGGCAAAGGAGAATAAGGGTAATAGAGAGAGAGGGTGAAAGAGAGACATGTAAGACTAAGGATGTTTTAAAAAGCAACAGGGACTCATTATTTTATAAATTTTCTTTAAAATGCACATGTATAACATGTATGTGTGAATATTTATTAGCAATATATATATTCTTAATATAATATATTATATATACTACATATAATATATAAACAACATATAGTGTTAATAGAATATATTAATCATAATATATTATAATTTATTAAATATATTATAGACTATTATCTGATACATAAATTATACTTATAATAATATAATATATTAATTATAATGATATATCAGTATTACAAATAATCTATTATTTAACTTTCCATTGACTCTCTTTGAACTTTATATCATGCACTCCAACCCCACTCATCTCCTTGTCCCCTCTTACAGGTCCACCACCCTTATAACCACTGTCTCTAAACAAAACAAAAGAAAATTTGATTGTGGAAGTTGTAGTGTGTCACATGTGTCCGACAGTATACACTTTTGTCAAAATCTCTTTGCTTGCAAATGTTCATTGCAATGACTCATTGGCCTGGCTTCGGTTACACTATC